TTTTTTATTTTACTCCCCTATTTCGTTTTAGAAATTGGAAAAAGTATCGAAAGTCGCATCCTCTGTTTGCATGTGGGTGATCGCTATGGATAAATTCTCAAAGGTCTACAAAGTAGTCGAGCCAAAGTTGAAGCGCAAGGAAGCGGCAGATGCCGAACTGAAGGACATTATGACCGTACTCAAGCAAAAACAAAAAGAACTGGCGGCTGTTGAAGCTAAAATTCAGGCACTACAAGAAGACTTGGAGGAGAAAAATCGGGAATTCAAAACCATACAGGATGCTGTCGACTTAACATATGGTCGCATCAATCGCGCCGGTCGCCTAACCTCCGCTCTGTCTGAGGAAGAAATACGCTGGAAGGAAACTGTGACGGTAGGTAATTTTTAAAACTCTAAGGGTCATTTTCTCAAGTAGGTTGTAAAATTTATGTGGCCTCAAAACTGAGATTTTATACTAAAACAATTAGTTTGAAGGTCAGGTAAATTTTTGAAATCTACATCAGAAAATGGCACTGAAGAGGTTAAGCTATATATGTACTATTTAACCAAATTTATGTAATTCCACCTACCTTAAGATGCTGACGGAGGATTTGAAAAGTGTACCAGGTGACGTTTTGGTTTCCGCCGCTTGTGTCGCTTATTTGGGTGCTTTTTCGACCCAGTATCGCGATGAGATGTGCGCACAATGGGTGGCCAAGTGTCAGGAGCATAAAATACCATCAAGCGGTGAGTTCCTCTTAGTCAAAGTGCTCGGGGATTCATATGAAATGCGCCAATGGACCATGGATGGTTTGCCCAAGGACACAGTTTCGATTGAGAATGGTCTCTATGCGACACGTGCACTACGTTGGCCGCTTATGATCGATCCGCAGGAGCAGGTATACGTTGAAGATTGTCAGATCTTAAACTACGTATTATAAACTTGCACTCCGCTAACCTTGCAGGCTAATCGCTGGATTCGCAACAAGGAAAGGGCAAACGGCCTGATTGTATGTAAGATGACGGATGGTAATTTATTGCGTACACTTGAAAACGCTGTGCGCCAGGGATTTCCAGTGCTACTGGAGGATATAGACGAGAACATTGATCCCTCTATACGACCAATCCTTCAGCGTGAAACTTACGTTTTTGAGGGTCGCGTCTATTTGAAGCTGGGCGATGTGGTCATTGACTATGATCCACATTTCAAACTGTATATGACTACGAAATTGGCGAATCCACATTATTTACCAGAAATTTGTATCAATGTGACGCTGGTGAACTTTTTGGTAACAGAAAGTGGGCTCGAGGATCAGCTGTTGTCGTAAGTTGAAACTTTTCAGCGTATAATCGAAAACTACTGGACTGATGGTTTTTAAATTGGAATGACATGTTTATGGTCATTCTTTACAGAAAAAAATCTATTTTGCGAAACCGTAATTGTAATCATTCCCACCTTGGGCATTTAAAGAACTAAGCACATTTGAGGGTGTCATGTTCCAAATTTTGGATGGAGAAGATAATCGTTCCCGAAGGTTTTACCAGTCCGCGATTCGGATATAATTAGTTCTGAGGTTTTCTCCACAAGCCCATAAAATCTACAGTCCGTGTCTACAGAAAGCGCGATTTTAGTCAATGATACCTTAACTTGCAGTATCCGGTCAGTTAATCAGTAAGAGTTCTAAGGCCCTCCCGGTTAAGTTCAAGAAGTCTTTTGAAGTTTCCTGGAAGAACTTATGAATTTCTTTGATTGTCTCCATTCGGCAAGTGGGAAGCAATCCGAAATTCTTCCCAGCTCCTAGTATCTGTGCGGTCTATCCGTTAGATGTGCCGCAGAATAACTCGCACAACCATGCAAGCGCTTTTGTGCTCCACGTTTTGCGAGACGGTCAGTTCTTTGGTTGCGTTTTACCCCTTCATGTCTCGAGGCTTTAAGGACAAGTGTGTCTATCCAACATAATATTTGTGCTGGCCAGACTTCTGCCTGGAGCATGGCTGCGTACGTACATAAAGGCAAACTTTTCTGGAATCTTGGTCCAAGTTCGCCTGTGCCAGTACTCCCGTCATCCAACTTCGATCCATTTGCAACCATACTTGGAACCCTTTCTTTATCATAAAGAATATCACTTCCCTTTCAGGAATTCTGACATTGTAGGACTTATAGAAGGATGATTTCGGTAGCTTGTCCAGGAATGGATTGAAAACTTCCAAGTGACCCCAAAGATCCCCACTTTGCATACTGATTATATTGGGCAGCAATAGAGAGATCCAGGAGGCCTCCTTTTTAATCAGAATAGACAGTGGAATGCCTGGAATGACACTAAGGTCATCCGTGAGACAGGTGCGCATAGCTCCTGGGATGGCCACGCAAACCAAGTGGTGTAGCTTGCTTAAGATGGCATCCTCACCTACTTGCTTTGGGCCTGACCTGGCGGGATTTGCGACCTAATTGAAAGCCCAATACGTTAGTTTGGGTGATACCATGAAATCTCTGATAGGCATAAAGTGCCAGATGTTCCAATTGATACTTCGCCTCTTCTGAGAACTCAATTTCTCTCTCTACCAAGATGGGTATGGTCAAATTGACTTTCCTTTTCTTGATGTATGGGGCAATGGTGGACTTCAGTGGGTTTATTGACAATCCATTTGTAGCACATCAGTCTGGTGTATGTATAATCGTATGTGTCCGTAATTTCTCAACCGATTACAACGAAATTTGCCACACCTGTTGTAGACTTTCCAAGGATGGTCATAAGATTAAAGTAATTTCTGTTATACATCAAGGGAAGTGGTAACTCTTACCATATTAGACAGGAGAATTACCAAATATATAGAGGAAAGAGTAAGGAAGGCCAACGTTGGATCATACACCTGCAAACAAGCGGTCAGAATCAAGTGGGGGTTAACACCCCTCGTATTACACATTGGCTTTACACTTCAGAGGGAAGGCCAATACTTTTATATGGAACACTTGTATGTTGGCCAGCAACTTAAAAGGGAAGATACCTTAAACACTGAGTAAGGTCCAAAGCAGAGCGTTGCTCTGCATTTCCGTTGCCTTGGGGAACACCACAAACAAAGCGCTAGAAGTGTTAACCAATTTGCCCACAATGAATCTGGTAGGGAAATACGTAGCCGCCACTTCAGCCTTCAGACTAAAAAGTATGGTGCTATGGAAAAAGCGGCGGTTCGGCCACGCTTTCATACGCCACACTATGGGAAGTTGGGACCAAGAAATCAGATACTCCCCCGTTAAATCAACCTTCGACAGGATCTTTAAGACGAACATCCCGTCAAGAGGAGAATGGCAAACACCAGGACCATGGAGAAAGGGGAATTGAATTATTACACGGATGGATCCAGTCTAGACAATAGGGTTGGCAGGACTGGAATTATCCGTTCAAATTCCGGACTTCTGCAGTGTTTATCAGGCAGAAGTTTAACGCCCTATTTCAGAATTCGTTTCAAAAACGCCCTATCTCAGCTGCCGATTCAAAAACGCCCTATATCAGCATATTTTCAATACATTTTGAAGTGAGATTGGGCGTTTTTGAACCGAATTTTTAAATAGAGTGTTTTTCAATTAAATTCTGAAATAGGGCGTTCTTGAAAAGTTTTTTGATATAGAGCGTTTGCGAACTGGCTGCCGAGATAGGTCGATCTTCCACTCAGCCATCGATCCCGCCCATCCAAGAAGAGTTTTCATATAAACTGCTCTCTTTTGTAGATCTCAGTAGCTCCATTTACCATTTTCTTTTCGTGCAGTGACATTGTGGCCATTGAACTGCCTGCAATGGAGATTCAGCGCAATGATCTGATTGTGAAGATTAACACAGACAAGCAACAGTTATTGGCGTTGGAGGATAAGGTGCTCAAGCTGCTCTACAATTCGCAAGGTAATATTTTGGATGACGAGGAGCTTGTGGAAACGCTAAATGACGCCAAGGTAAATGCTTTTCGACATCAGCTGCTCAAACATATCTCTTTACTAATAACTCTTGGCCAGGAAACCTCACTTATTATTGCAACACGTCTCATCGATACCGAAGAAACGGAAAAACTCATTACGGCTACGCGTGAAAAGTATCGTTCACTGGCTTCACGTGGTGCCATACTCTATTTTGTGGTAGCTGGCCTAGCTGATGTGGATCCCATGTATCAATACAGTTTGAAATACTTTTCACAAGTATTCTGTAATGTTATACGCCTGGAACATCCTAAGCAAAGTATCGAGGAACGCATAGCACAGCTGAAACTGGACGAGTTGAAAACGATTTTCGAAAATGTCTCACGCGGTCTATTCGAAAATCACAAAATCATATTCAGCTTTCTGCTAGCGACGGCAATTGAGAAACAAGAAGGCCGCATTTCTCAAACCGATATGAATTTCTTGACGCGCGGCAGAGTGGGAGCTGTGCCCTTCAAACCTAAGCCGGACGATTGCTTGCTAACCGACGAGGACTGGGAAACATGCATTTTTCTGGAAACTGAATTTCCCGCTTATTTTGGCGGCTTTATTGCTGCGCTTGGCAAGCCTTTCTTTTTGCAAATACTCAACACGAAGGAGGTGAGATGTGACTATGCGTGGAAGCGTTTATGTGATTCTAAATTCCTTGGTTGTTTTGATAAGTAGGTCTTCAACTTCTCTTATTCGAGAGCAACAGCTGTGGACACATGGAACAAACGACTTACCATTTTTCATAAACTTATGTTTATACGCGTATTCCGGCGTGAGCGTTTTCTGCTGCACGTGGTGCTGTATTTAACCGCTACCATAGGCAAATACTTCACCGAAACATCAGCAACAGGCAGTCAGTTGAAAACTGTGTATGTATAAATAAATTAAATTTAATGCAGCTCATACTCTTCACAATTCTGAACATCTCGCTTTTTCTTCTAGTTTCAATGACACCAACAACCTAACGCCTATGGTCTTCGTGCTCTCTACAGGCTCAGATCCCATGGCCGCTTTTCTGAAGTTCGCCGATGAAATGAAATATATGGATAAGTTCTATTCGATCTCACTCGGTCAAGGACAAGGTCCGATAGCTGAGAGCTTGATCGAAAAGAGTTTGCGTCTGGGTCACTGGGTATTCTTGCAGAACTGCCATTTGGCCACATCTTGGATGCGTCAAATGGAAGCCATTGTGCGCAACATTACTTTGGGCATCAGCAAAGCGCATGATGATTTTCGTCTCTTTCTCTCCTCTATGCCAACAAAGAGTTTTCCCATCAGTGTACTGCAAAACTCCGTCAAGCTAACAAATGAGCCGCCCAAGGGCATCAAAGCCAATGTATTGGGCGGACTTAACGATTTGGAGAAAAACTTCTTCGAGAAGCATGTATTGCGCGAGAAATGGCGTGCCATTGTGTTTGGGCTGTGCATGTTTCATGCAGTCATCCTAGAGCGACGCAAATTCGGACCGCTCGGCTGGAATATCTTGTACGAGTTCAATGAAAGTGATCGTGATTGTGGCCTCAAAACGTTGGATTTCTTTATCGAACGACAGAAGGTAGATGAAATTCCGTGGGATGCAATATTCTATATAAATGGTGAAATAACGTGGGGTGGACGTGTCACCGACTATTGGGATCAACGTTGCTTGAAGACTGTATTGAAAACATTCTCGTCGCCACAGATCATTGAACCAGATTACAAATACTCACGCGGTGATCCCTACTATCGTGATCCACAAAAACTAACTGTGCAGGAATATATACAGTATGTACAGAAATTCCCGACTATAGAAGATCCGGAGATTTTCGGCATGAATCAAAATGCAAATATTGTATTTCAAACAAAGGAGACGAACTTCTTTATAACAACGCTGTTAATGGGACAGCCACGCGCAGCGGCGGATGAGGGACAGGCGGCGGAAAATGAGAATGCAGTGGAGGTTATTCGCTCCGTACAAAGCGTGCTGATTACAAAAATCAAGCGCGACGAGCTTCACGAATCGCTTAGAGTTGTAAGTAAATGTGCGCACAAGTAACAAATTTCATTTCAATCAAAATTATTTTATTTATTTGCCTTTCCACCTCCGTCCAGCTGGATGCCAAAGGTCAACTACCTTCCTTAACCACAGTGCTTGTGCAAGAGATCGATCGTTACAACATCAGCCTACGCGTCTTACACGATAGTCTAGTAAATCTATCAAAGGCCATTAAAGGGCTCGTCGTAATGTCCGAAGAGCTAGAGGAAGTATTTAAAGCACTGCTCACCAATCTTGTGCCTAATTTATGGGCCAAAAAGAGCTTTCTCTCCATCAAGTCGCTGCCAAATTACATTGCTGATTTCCAGCGTCGCGTCGAATTCATACAAAATTGGGCGAGCAACGGTGGCCCACGTTCATATTGGATAAGTGGTTTTTACTTTCCGCAATCCTTTCTAACCGGCATGCTTCAGACGCATGCGCGCAAACGTGTGCTCCCAATCGATTCGCTTAAAATAGATTTTAAAGTCTACGATCTGGTTATCATACAACAGTTGGTTTTTGAGCGGCACGCCAGCGGCAAGGATGTAAATTTGAACGCGCACTCTCGTTATTTTGTGCTTTCACTTAAAATATCTTCTATCTCATTTTAGGTTAAAGATCTTTACGGTAGTCTACCAGAGTCGAATGACTCTGGCGTCAATGTGCATGGCATTTTCATCGAGGCCGCGCGTTGGAACTCACAACGTGGTGGACTCTGTGATGCGGAACATGGCGAACTATTTAGTCGCTTACCGGTTATACGTTTCATACCATGCATTAGCCTAGATCCGGGCGAGCGCTACGAGGCACCACTCTACAAGACACAAGCGCGTTCTGGCGTGCTATCGACGACGGGTCATTCAACAAATTTCATACTCTCTATATTGCTGGAAAGCCGAAATTCGCCTGACTTTTGGATTTTGCGTGGCACTGCATTGGTTTCTGGCGTTGCTGATAATATTTCGTAAAATGCCTATGTGCGAGTGTATGCTTTTGTTTATAACGAACTTAATTAATTTAATAAAAATAATTAGAATATAATGCGGTTTTATTCAGCAACTCTTCTTCTTCTTTTTTTCATTGTTCAGCATTTTACGTAAGTCATTTAGTCCTCTTTCATGTCAATAACATCTCCATTCGTATTGGAATTTGGCGAACGATTGTTTGCGCCATCTACCTCATCCATCATGTGTTGCAACAGTATCTCATCGCCAGGATCGATTGGTGCTACAAAAATATCGCGCACAGCACGAAATTTANTATTGGAATTTGGCGAACGATTGTTTGCGCCATCTACCTCATCCATCATGCGTTGCAACAGTATCTCATCGCCAGGATCGATTGGTGCTACAAAAATATCGCGCACAGCACGAAATTTGCCTGCGTTGAATAGATGTTCATTCTCCAAACGAAAATAATTCCAAATATAGCGTCTGTGTGCGCGTATAATTAAATTTGTTTTCGTGATATAAATAATTGTACTTGAAATAAATTACCTGAACATCTCCAGCGCGCTGGCGATTGTATTGCAATGGAATACCGTCACATAGTTTCGCTGGTATATGTACAGTTTAAGCGCCCAAAATATGCGACAGAAAAAGTTTTCAACAATTGCAAAGTAATAGAAGCTCTGAAAGAAAGCAAGTATGCAGAATTAGTAAAGGAAAGAAGGTTTTGAGTGACTTAATTTCCATTGGATAATATATTTTGACTCCGTTTTCCCTCTTGTCTCTTTCCTAGCCTCGGTGAAAGAACTATTGAGTACTTCTGTGTACTTAGTTCGCGTTTTTCAACAAATATATTCCAACGCTAGTTCGAAGATGTCTGGCATGCTTAGTTTTATGGGAACAATTATGCCTTTTGCTANGTATATGTACAGTTTAAGCGCCCAAAATATGCGACAGAAAAAGTTTTCAATAATTGCAAAGTAATAGAAGCTCTGAAAGAAAGCAAGTATGCAGAATCAGTAAGGGAAGGAAGGTTTCGAGTGACTTAATTTCCATTGGATAATATATTTTGACTCCGTTTTCCCTCTTGTTTCTTTCCTAGCCTCGGTGAAAGAACCATTGAGGACATCTGTGTACTTAGTTCACGTTTTGCAACAAAAATATTCCAACGCTAGTTCGAAGATGTCTGGCATGCTTAGTTTTATGGGAACAATTATGCCTTTTGCTCATATTTATGTATGTACCTTATTATAAGTAAGAAAGATATATCAAAAGCTTTGAAATTATGTACATATGTACATAAGAACGCGCCACCTTACAAGCAAACAAAAAAAGTTCGCCGTAAGCCTCTGAGTCTAAAGAATTTTTGCAAGGCAATCTTGAGAATTTTTTTTTAGCGCAAACCAAGGGCTTTTCGGTGACTCTTATATTCAGCAATAAATTTGTTTACNATGTACATATGTACATAAGAACGCGCCACCTTACAAGCAAACAAAAAAAGTTCGCCGTAAGCCTCTGAGTCTAAAGAATTTTTGCAAGGCAATCTTGAGATTTTTTTTTTTTAGCGCAAACCAAGGGCTTTTCGGTGACTCCTATATTCAGCAATAAATTTGTTTAACAGTTCGCCTTCTTTATTGACACTGTAACCGACCAAGCGATTTTGGCCGAGTCCAAAAGAACACGCCAGCGGTTTCTCTTATGTGCCAACCGACACCAATTGGAAATGCCAAATGAAGCAAATTCCTTCACCACCTAGTCTTCGTCTTCTTCTGTTACCAACATCGCGATCCGCGTTGCACACTTTCAGAACTGGAGCATTTCTTGCCATTCGAACGACATAACCTTGCCTGCGTAGTCGCTGGATTTTAATGGGTTGCACTATGTCTATATCGTCGCTAGACACGAATAAAGACGCAGAAAGGGAATCGTAAAAATAAATTTCCGAAAAAACATGCGTGAAAAAATTTCAGCGAAGTAAGACGCGTCAGCCTAGTTGACGCTGAAGAAAGATGCGTAAACATAGATTTAAACCTGGCCACTTCAGCATCATTCCACAAAAATTCTTTGGGGACTTTACATACTTTTACACCTGCGAACATGGTTGACCGCGAACTATGTTAAGAGTGTTTTTTTTTGTGCGTCCTTTTTCGCGGTCAAATTTTTAGCTTATTGTTAAATCGCGTGCGGTATTCGCCATCGCGAACGCTCATGTTTTATCTAGATATATAAATATTTAGTTGGACACTAATATAGCCCCTCACTTTCTTTTATCAGAGCAACACGCTCAACATAGTTCATGTGCTTTTCACTCACCGCCGGATAGAGTAATTGATCCCTCAGAAATATATTTTCGCCGCTAAACTTCTTGAACACACCAAAATCCATAATCATATCCCAAGTAAGACAGTAAACAGTCTGCACAATATTTGCGACAATGAAGAACCAAACAAAGGGATTATCAAAGTAATATTCATAAGAGTCTACAAATAAAAAAAAAAAGTAATCATATGTATACAATTTACAAAGCATTTTAGTNCAAACAAAGGGATTATCAAAGTAATATTCATAAGAGTCTACAAATAAAAATAAAAAAAAGTAATCATATTTATACAATTTACAAAGCATTTGAGTACGTACAGCGCGTGGTGGCCATGAGGAAACCGAACAATGATACAAAAAACGACATCGAGTACTTGCCCGCATTCACGATGAACGGGAAAACCAAACCCGTATCACGATATCGTCTCAAACACTGAGCGAACCGAAACCAAGCCGGTAGCACCAAAACAACTGAGAAAAGTACTTGATTGCCCCTCACACATGCAATTGGTTCGCGCGCGTCATCCATATTTAAATTTGTGCAGTAGAAATAAATCATATATGCAAAATCAGCAAGACAGTAGGCGAGTGAGTTGAGCTGATCGCCGAGCCAAAAATCTGCAAAACCAACATAGAAAAATGGCGCTGCCATGACACGACCCTGTAAGATGAGATTTTCACTTAGCATTTTTTCGCAGCACCAATTCACTATATACATATACACTCTTCGAAAACATACCGCAACTTTGAGTAACCATTTACGTGCAGCATAATTGCAAATCGGTAATGGATTCACTAGGAAGGTTATCATTGCTATGAGCAACGCCAAGGGGAAGACATAACGCGATATTTTCAGGTAACTAAAATGTATGTACGCAAGTAAGGTGATCGTAACCACTACCGCCAATGCGACAGCCATTTCCATTACATGTGCCGCTGTCAGATATTGTCGAGGATCCAATTCAAAAATAAGCACATGATTGACACCCGCCCTGCGCCACCCATGAATGTTGATGCTAATTAACGCTAAGTAAATAGCAACGGAATAGGGTGCGCGAAAGAGTCGAACTAAGGCATCCCAATCATTTGCGCTCAGCTCCGTCATGAACACTGAAATATTTACATACATATGTATGTAAGCNATCCCAATCATTTGCGCTCAGCTCCGTCATGAACACTGAAATATTTACATTCATATGTATGTATGCATCCGCGTATGAGAGATTCCAATTTGCAGGAAATTTTTGCAAACGACTTACGTGAAATGGCAAGCGCTGAAAGTAGCACAACAAGTGCGCCCAAATAGAGACCAACACGGAAGGAAGTCCATGGATGTTTTATATCTTCAAGTGGTGGTACACGTAAACGTTTCATAGCACGCTGACGATCGCCACCTTCTAAATGTTTCGTTACCACATCCTCCGTCTCATGAATTAGATTCATTATCTCACGATTGGTATGGAAAAAACTTGAGTTTACATTAGAATCGAACCACTGCTTGCCTCTGGTATTGCGCAGCAACTAAAAGTGGGCAAGCAATAAGTTTTGCTTTAACTCCAACACCAAAATACATACATATGTATGTATGCATTTACACACCTTATCGTGCTTCTTCAGTATCTTTCTAAATCCAGTATGATTTAGTGATTGATAGTTTTGTAACAGCACCAAACAGAGATACAGTTCACTAAAAGCGAAACGAAAGTCTTTAGTTTTGCGTCGTGGTAGTATTGTCGAGAAATCTATGATCGAAATACGTCCACGCTGTTCTGCGGCATTTAGTGACTTCTTCAACTCTGTTTTCAATGCAACATGTTTACGTTTGGCCTCTGCCAGTTTTTCGGCAAAAAATGTATTGACTTTTTGCAATTCCATGTCGCAGCGCTCAAAGAATTTATCATCGATGACCGCATAGTAGGACTGAACGGCACGGAGATCAGATTGGTCGGTCGGCGCATTATCGACAGCCCTTACGATCATTTCTTTTAATTGCTAAAATGTTAACGTTTGTATTAATTGGTAGCGTGTTCACTGGGACAGCCTACTGACCTCATAGTGGATGTATTGACTCCGCCATTCTGGTGTTAAAAATGTTGCGAGCTTCTCCGTGAATTTCATTTTTGACGGAAATAAAAAACTATTCGTTATTTTAATTTGTCAAATGGAAACTCGAAACGAAAGAAGGTATTCACTATTTGGTATGATATTTTTTTTGCGGAAATATTTATGTATGTACTTAATGATATGAAGATCCGATACGCGTTGCAAACATGTGGGTGCGGGAAAAATTTTAAATCACAACCTCTTTGAGGAGTNCACTGGGACAGCCTACTGACCTCATAGTGGATGTATTGACTCCGCCATTCTGGTGTTAAAAATGTTGCGAGCTTCTCCGTGAATTTCATTTTTGACGGAAATAAAAAATTATTCGTTTTTTTAATTTGTCAAATGGAAACTCGAAACGAAAGAAGGTATTCACTATTTGGTATGATATTTTTTTTTTTGCGGAAATATTTATGTATATACTTAATGATATGAAGATCCGATACGCGTTGCAAACATGTGGGTGCGGGAAAAATTTTAAATCACAACCTCTTTGAGGAGCTAAAAACGTGTTGCGTACATCCCATGTTCAGTAAGTAGTTAGTTAGATCAGGGATGTCACGGAAGAAGAGACACCGCGACCTGAAAAATCTTTTGTGTATCTTAAAGACAGAGTCACTAACCCAGTGTGGTCAAGATACCTTCCTAATGAATCCTAAAAGAGCCTTTTAATCTTTGTCTAGCCAAAGGCGGACAGTGCATAGAATATGCTTTAAAACTGCATCATCTTCGAGGCAGAGCCGGCATTCCGACTCTTTGGTCAAACCTATTCATTTTCGTTGAAAGGGCGGTCCCACCGCTCCTCAGTACTTACTACGTTCAGAGTGTACCTNAGAATATGCTTTAAAACTGCATCATCTTCGAGGCAGAGCCGGCATTCCGAATCGTTGAAAGGGCGGTCCCACCGCTCCTCAGTACTTACTACGTTCAGAGTGTACCCCCACTCAGTAATTATGGCTATCGAAGAGGACCAACTGAGACTACAGAATGGTTCAAGACCCAAAAAGGCGACCTCATTGCCTTCGATTCCATAATAGTCTGGTACTCACCACCTGTTTTTTGATGCTAAAATTTTTAGCATGTCAAAGCGGTCTCTAACCAGGTTGGATTTAATAGTCCTGTTGCAATGGGCACGGATTGCTTCTTGGCTTATCAAGGTTTAATTTTGCGCAGTTTAAAATTGCGACTATTTCAGTCTGAAACACCGTGGGCCATTTGCCCATGGGAATTGTAAGTTTGGTGCAAGGTCCAAAATTATCCTCCCTCCTTGCAGGGAGCCTATTCGCCAAATATCCGCTATCGGGAATTATAACTTAGAACTTTCAGCCAAATCAGATCTTTTTACTTATGGAATCAGAGATTCCGCATATTTCCAACACTGATATCATCCCAGGAATACCTGCATGAAGCTTCTCTCTGAAAAAGCCGTCGTTAAATAGTCGG